AGTGTTTCCATAAGGAAATTGCCTTTCTTTTGTAACTACAAAAAAAAACAATTTTGGAAAGTATTTTCCCTAGGAAAAAACTAAGGATGACTAACAGATAATCAAATTCACTCTAATCAAAATTTTGCTCTTTTCTGGGGTACTTTAGACATGGAAAGGTACAATTGCTTTTATCCTCACCCGAAGATATGGTTATTGATTGAGAGAGAGAGAGAGAGAGAGAGAGAGAGAGAGAGAGAAACGATGTGAGAAAAAAAAATTAATTGGTTGCCTCCCAGAAATTGAACCCTTAACCTAGATATGTGCCCTGACCAGGAATAGAAACCACAACCTTTTTGGGTAATGGAAGATGCTCTAACCAACTGAGCCACCCTGCCAGGGCAACAAATACAATTTTGAAGAACAGCAGCAATCACATTTTAACTTTAACAAAAGTACACAATCTCTATTATCTTTAAGACAGACATCAAAGAAACAAAGTCTTTATCCTTAGGAATACATAAGCATCTAATAATCTACAAGCAAACCATATTTTTGTTGCTATTGGTTAAAAACAGTCCACTTACAGAGTGAGTTTAGGTTTATCCTCTAGAAATGTTTAATTCCAGACTGACGTTCCCAAATTTTTATGCAAATTAATGAAAACATTAGCTTGAGCCAAACTTAATTATCAGGGCTCCAGGAAGCAATCATGTGATCTATTTCTAAAGAATATTGAATGGATTTTGGATTATTGTTTCTAATGGTCCCTCCCATTAGTATGGATGACTGAGGCCACTGTATAAAAAATATACATATAAACTGCAGGATCCTTTAAGTTTTTTGTATCTCAGCCAGGAGGGATTAGGGCAAAGGACAGGGGGTAGAATTCAACTAAACTGAATGTGGAGAGGTAAACATAAAGCTTGCCCCATGGGGTCAAGAAAGCAAGATGGGATGTGGAATATCTGAGTGCACTGGAGAGAAAGGCAGATGGGCTGGAGTCATCATTAACCGGCAGCAGGCCTGGGTACCGGGCAAGGAACCACACATACCTCTGTGTGATATGCCAAATCCTGGCTTGGTTCAGGAATAAGCAGATATGCTTATTCTTAGATTTCAAAGCTATACACTTCATTTCTTTTCTTTTTTACTATCAGAAAAATTAGAAAGGAGAAAATATATGCATTTCCATTTCAAGCAAAGATTAGTAAAATAGGTAAACACAATAGTGGGACAAGAGAAAAAGGCAGAGGAGAGAAATACTACACAAAAGTCTTGCAATGGCCTCTCATCCACAAAGTGAAGTGACAGACCTTGCTGGTCACAGAGAAAAGCCCTAGTTAGTATTCAACAGCCATAGGCTGCCTCCTGGGGCAGCCCCGCCATATCAGCAGTGCTCCTGGCCCTGATCTCCCTATTCCTGATCGCATTCCTCTAAAAATGTCCAGGTGGAGCAATGGGACTGGATATGCACAAGAATACAGAGTGGCTTGCTTCTCCTCTCTCTCTTCATTGTACAGATCACAAATAACGAGTTCAGTTCCCAGCAACGACTTTGAGAGTTCCCAATATTCCCAGTGAGAGAGAATGAGGCTCCGTCAAACAGTGAAGGTTCCCTCTCATTATCATCTTCCCAAATATAAATGTCAATGTGACTAGAAACTTTAGCAGGAGACATAGCCTCATATAAGCCAATTATAGAGAGAATATAAGATATTATCCAGTTTATTTGGCCTTAAAAATAATAATGAAAGTAAATCCCAAAGAGCATCCAGTTCTCCTTTCCTGGTTCTTTGCCATCAATATAGTATATGAGGAGCTTAGTAGCCTAAGGCACTTATTGCTAAAAGGTGTGTGGGAAGTAAGTTACAGTCCCTGACTACTATTTACAGATATTGATGGGTACTATAATAAAGGGAAAATGAAATAGTTATTGATCACTCCTTATCAGTAGGTGTTGGGAAAGAAAATACGAATAAAACACAATCTCTGTCTTCACAATGTTTATAACCTGGTAAGAGAGACTAAAGCAGACAAAGCTATTATAGTGGGGCCTTGACTTACGAGTTTAATTCGTTCTGAGACCGAGCTTGTTAAGGAGCTCGTTAAGAAGCTCGTTAACTCAAATTACTCTATCAACTCAATGCAAAAAATCAGCCTAGAGACAGCTGGTATCTCAAAAAACTCGTTAGTCGGGACACTCGTAAGTCAAGGCCCCACTGTATTACAGTGTACTAAGGAGAATAATAAATAGATGAATGAGCAAAGGAACTCAATAAGCAAAAATATGACCACTTTCTATAGTCCCCCAAGGTGAGAAGGGTGGAAATGGGTCTGGGGGAAAGATTTTTCCTGGTTCCTCCATATTAAAGAATTTTGTCATTATTATCATGACAGTAAAGAATAAAAAGCCTAAGTGGAATTCTCACACATTTCAGGAGGGAGTGTAAAATGGGGCAAACTCTTCGGAACATTGTTTTTTAGTACCTCGTAAAGCTAAACATGTATGTCGCCCATTCCTTAGTAGTTTCATTGGTGAATTTATACCTGAGAGAGATGAGTACATACGAGCACAGATGTCCACCAAAATACATGTACAAGAATTTTTAGCAGTATTATTCATAATAGCCCCATTTTGAAAATAATTTGACATTTTAACACCTATATACTATTGAATAATCAGACAGTGGGATAGTCTACTTCAATGAAAAATAGTGAATTTATGAGTGCATGCAGCAATTGGGATTAACCTCAGAGAAAACGTATAAAAAAGTAAGATAAAATACAGGATATACTTATGTTCTGTTTATATTAAATTCAAAAACAGAAGAATTACCTATGGGGGCAGGGAGGGTATCTGCAGGCACCAACAGGAGTAGCAGAGCTATTGGTGCTAGAAATGTTCTTGGTCTGGGTGGTGATTGACAGGGAGATACATGGTTGTATATTTAAAAACCTGTCCTCTTAAGGCTTGAGTGTTTTACTATATGCAAGCTATACTGCAATTTAAAAATTAAAAGACAAAAGCAAAAAAAAAGAAAGAAAAAGGGGTTAGTAGTCAGATAAACCTAGTTAAGAATTCTGAAAGCAGAATAGGGATCATAATACTTTACAGGCCTGATATGATTAGAGAAAATGTGTATAAAATGGGTAGACAATGTACGGCATTTGTATGGAATCAATAATTTGCAAATATATTTTCTAGGCTAGTGCTTCGCAAGATTTAATGTGCAAATGGAATACCTAGAAATGTTAAAATGCACACTCTGATTCTGCAGGTCTGACATGAGGCCTGAAATCCTGTAATTTTGAAAAGCTCTCAGGAAGTTCTAATGTTTCTTGCCCATGGACCACACTTTGAGTAACAATAGGGAGAAATGGGGATGAATGGGGTTTATCAGGAGCAGAAAGGTCTTGATCAATACATATTTTAAAAGATATTAATGTTAGCACTTCATAAGATAGATTACACACACACACACACACACACACGACCCAAGAGTGACATAATACATCCCTGAATTAAGAAAGGGGATGGGGACTAAATAGGGGGGAAAAGCATTTTTCACAATTGTCAAATCTTGGCATTTCATTGAATTTTGGAGTGATAACAGAAAGACATCCGAGTCAGCTTGAGGTTTTTAGCTTCAAAGATCAAATATATAAATATACTGTAGCTGTAATTTTTTTATCAGATCCTTTTGAATAAAATTGAGCTCCAGAGCAATGGATGTCAAAAAAACACACTTTTTCTTTTCAGAGTTGGTCAACCTGTCAGAGAATGAACCAAGGGGAAGTACTATAGCAGGCAGATTAAGTACAGTTGTGGTAAAGAGGAAGCTATAAAGATGAGAGGTTAAGTCATCTGTGCTGTGGTAACAACCTCAAAAGTCCCAAAAGCTTACAACCACAAAGGTTTGCCATGTCGCTGCTTGGTTCTGCTCCACCAGTTTTAGGCTGAAGGAACATACTCTTTCAGGAGAAAGAGAGAAATGGATCTCGAAACTTCTGCTGAAATGTAGTACCCAGCGTGCTTGTTGCTTGGCCGTTTTCTTAAACCAAGTCACATGAATAGGCCTGGCATCAATGAGGTGGGAGCATACGCTTGTCACACAAGGGCCATGACAGGTCACATGGTCACAGACAGGGAAGTGGCGCCCTCTTACAGAAAGCAGTAGGGACAGGCTGGAGCAGTAATGCCATCTACCACAGGACCGTAAGCAGGCAAAGAGGCCAAGCTCCTCTGCACCCCCTTCGTGCCTATAACCACCCCAGCTCTGGATTTTTTTTTTAATTCAACAGTGAAATAGCTTCAGCATTAAATATTTTATTAGGCAAAATGGAAAGATTTCCATTTTCTCTCTTAATGAGCACTTAAATGTTTTAATCTCTACTGGGAAGGGGAGGGGGAGAAGCCAGGGTGTGTAGAAGAAAAGCATTATTACTTAATAGATAATCAGCCTCAGAGTAACTAAGAGTTGGCTGAATTCCCTCCTGACCTTGGCTGTATTTAGTAGGTGCCATTAGAAAATAGTGGAGCTGTGAGGTGACCCAATCTGTGTGTGCTCATGTTACTCAAGTTTCTCATGCTCTGTTGATGGGAGAATGAACATGCAAGGAGTGTTTTAATTTTCCAGGAATCCTCAATACAGGAACTATCTACATCTTAAAGGAAACTTAAATGTAATTAACTCATGCAGCCCAGAAATTATTTAAAATTTCAAAAACTTCCAGATTGTGTCCATTGCTGTTAGTACATTCATAAGCCAAATAGTAATTACACCAGTCAGCACAAAGAAGATTTTGTCTAAATTATCTGGATATTTTTTATAAAATAATTGAAATAAATTTGATTTGCAAAATGGTATCTTTACCCTTCACTTTCTTTAAAACTGTTTTCTACCTATCCATGTATGATCAAAGCATGGTTTCTGAAATTTTTGCTTTTTCAAACCAGGGGTAAAACTATGGTTATGCATATCACATTTCTTTTATTTTCTAATCACTATTTTTAACAGGACAAGAAAATGATTCAGCGAATAATGAGATAAAAATTGAGGAGGAGTCACAGACCTCATACATGGAAACAGAAGGTACTGAAACCAGGACATATTGTTACCAGGGAATGAGATGAAACTGTGAACCATGACCCTTATACAGACTTGTGTGTGAGTGGTGTGCATGTGTGTTTTTAGGCAATGATTTACGGAGAATGACAATAGTGTTCTGTTTTGTATGCCTATTAAAAATTGGAGGGCTTGGGGAGAACTGAATTAAACTTTCTGTGCTTTAGTAACTGTGTTTTGTCAAGGATTTCAACTAAAACATCCTTGAATAGCCTTCCTTCTCATTCTATTTAGAGCTTTCATCAAACCAAGAAGATACCACGATTGTGGAGCAACCAGAAGTGGTCCCACTGACAGATGTTGAAGAAGAAAAAGGAGGAAAAGGTAGGCCTGCTCTTATATTAAACCATCAAAATAGTTTCTTTGGATTCCTGTCCAGAATTCACCATCAGAGTTATCCTTATGCAACTGTAGTCTGTTAAGGGCAGAGGGGCAGAGGGACGAACATTTCTTTAACCCTAAATCTACTTTTGTGAGTAGAATATTATCAAGTAGCAAGAGAAGATACTTGTAATAGTTTTTTGTCCTTTTAAATAGTATAAATGTGTTTTTATTTAGATTCCATTTAAAGATTATGTTATTGAGAAAGCCTATAAGATATCAAAATTATGAAGTAATGGATGAGTCTTAGAAAATTTTAAATGGCTATAAAACAAATGTCCCCTTTAGTATTGACCTTATTCCCCCATCCTTTATATGGTGGTGATTAAAGAAACAATTTATGTGAAATATGTACATTACATGAACCTTCTAAATTGCAACCTTTGTCTGGTAATATCAGGATGCCATAATATAGAATACTGTTAAAAATAATAGCATTACTATAATTTTTGAAGACATAAGAGGAATGAACACTGTAAATTTTAAAACAGTATTTGGGGCAAGAAGTCAATATATTGGAGTAAAGATAGCAGTCTTTTTAAGAATCTATTTTAAAAAACCATTATCAAATAAATTCAATATTTACTGAAGAACTTGAAGAATTCCATTTTCATATATAAAGCAATCTCTTAAAAGAAACTAAAATATGAAATATGAAGTGAAATGATTTCTCTGGAACACTATATCATAAATCATGCTGCTCTTAAATAAATATGTGTTTGCAAAGCAGTTGCAAAGTAATAACTTGACAGGCCTTGTTTATAGAACACAGTGATCAATTTTGTTTCCAAATTAAAATGCGGACATGATCTCAATTGTAAAATCAGGTCAATAGTAGCTACAGCTTCCAAATTATGAACTCTTCTTGACAGGGGCATTGATACAGTTTAATTAGCAAGCCATGTTAGTGATTATGACACCTCTTTTTTTAAAATTTTCAATATAGAGCCCAATATTCTTCCATTTCTCTGCATCTAATAGCCTTTCTGTATTGCAAATTCTAGTTCAGGCTCATGTTCCTGGCAAGTCAAGTAAATGAGATATTTGGTGTATTTTATGTATGATGATGATAACAGGCATTTGATACAACCCTTACTTTAGCCACAGTTACCTGGCATTGCTCCCTTCAATTGTACTTCAAAAATATAAAATGCCGAGTGGTGCTTGCCTGAATAGTTTCTCTATAGCAGAAATTATTTATTTTGTACCGTGTATGTCAAGACATGCCAATGAGAAACATTAAGTGGTATACATATTCTTTTTATTAACTTGTCCTCCAGGGAAAATAAAAACCTCATGTTCAGCACACATGGACATGTCACCCTCCTCACAGTGACTTCTCTAGCATTGAGTACTCCTGTAACTACTGAGGAGTTGGTTCACTACCCACTGTTTACCCTCCCTTATTATTTGCTTCAAAGCAAACTGAAAAGCTATTCCGTTACATATAAGAAAAATAACCAAAGGAAAATGGGCAACGTAGATTCAGGGTGCTCTGCCCCTAATTAGCAAGCTGGGTGAACCTGGACAAGTTATTTAATCTTTCAATGCCTCAGTTTTCTTATCTGTAAGATGGCGATGACAAAAGTCACATCAGTTGTGGTGAAAGTGTGAGTTAGCACATGAAAAGCTCCCAGGACCTGGGGCATAGGAATCATGCCATAAGCATTTAGTATTTATCATAATTTGATAAATTGGTGACAGAGTCAAGAGAATCCACATGTGGAGTTCCTCAAATACATTCATTGTCCTTCCTAACTATTTGCATCTATATAAACTTTACATAGGCTGCACTATCCTTCAACAAAAATTGTTCTGCACATTCCATTTTTAGCACCATCACCTGCAGTGAGTTTCAATAGGCATTTTGTATCCTAAAAAGGTTAAATAATTAATAAAATGTGAGATGAAAGGCATCTCTCTTATTCATAAAGTCCTTTTTCTTTGTCAAGATCTCAATCTTCTGTTTGAGAAATGCTGAATCAACCATAATTTTAATTTTTTTTCTTGAGAATTGACAGACAACATTATAATAATTTTGTTACTAGTGGGAAGAAGTCCTTGTCCCCACCTTTGTTCATAGGAGTGGAATTATTGCAATATCCCAAGAAAAATAATTTTCTGAGACATGCCCAGGAGAGTCAGTAATTTTTGTTTACATGGAATTAAATCCCTGAATTTCTAAGGTCTCCTCTCCCTCAGTCCCACCATAAAAGATATGTAACTGTGGACTTAATAGTGCTAGAATTAGAGCCAGTGTCCAAAGGTTCTGTTCCATGCTGGGTTTGTGTGTCCTGTCGCAGCCCATCAGTCGGTTTCATGTGAGGTCCGCATGGCCATGAATAAAAGGAAGCAGAACGATTGAAATTTCTTTTGAGAGCCAATTTTTTTAAACTTAAACTATATAGGTAGGTACATTGTTATTAACTTAATTAGGGTATTCCTAAGGCTTAAGAAGAGCCACACTCAAGGGGCCAAAGAGCCACATGTGGCTCGCAAGCCGCAGTTTGGAACGGCTTTGTTTAGGGGATTATGTATTCCCAAATTCCCATGGGCTTGCAGTGGCCATACCCATTCTGGCCAATTCATGGTTCCCCAGGCTAGGCTGACAAGCCAATACCTTCCCTATGTCACCCCAGCTTTACTGAGCATGTGTCTATCTCCCCTTCGTTGGATCCCTTCCCTCAGTAGTCTGCATAGAATGGGTTAGTGGTTCCCTGGGGAGTGCAAAATTGCAGGTTCCTGCCCAAATGACAGGACTATAATATCTGACCTTCCATTTGTTCCTTTTCTATTATGAATAACTAGCTAATTACAAAGGTATCAGTCCCACTTTAAAGAGAACTAACCTCTTTGTAATCCTACAAAGGGCAAATGAACAAAGGTCTCTATAGCTTCTTCTTCAGTGGTTCTCAACCTTCTGGCCCTTTAAATATAGTTCCTCATGTTGTGACCCCAACCATAAAATTATTTTTGTTGCTACTTCATAACTGTAATTTTGCTATTGTTATGAATCGTCATGTAAATATCTGATATGCAGGATGGTCTTAGGCATCCCCTGTGAAAGGGTCGTTCGACTGCCAAAGGGGTCGCGACCCACAGGTTGAGAACCGCTGTATGCTTCTTGCTCTCAAGGGGGACAGATCTGCCTATCCCAAGACTTTGAGTTTCTCCCCTATCTGACAGAGGAAGAGGAAGCAAAAAGGAATGGAGTCTTCATGCAGGGAAGAGGGATTTTTCACAGTTGAGGTCAGTCTAGTGACCCTGGGAGGTGGCATAGATGATGTCCAGAGGCTAGCTTGTTGGACAAACTGGCATCCTTGTTTTATTCTAGAAGTGAAAAACTTGACAATAAAGTTAAAAGGCATAATTTGAATATAAGGGGACTTATAGTAACTATAGGTCTGGTGAGAGGTATAAACCCATGTAATAAAGGAAATGACTAACTTGACAATGTTCTAGATTAGGTTGGAGGAGTGGCTTCCCTGGGTCGAACCTTTCTGAAGCTCTTCTGCCCACCATACTTAATTCAAATAAGTTAAGGAAAATGTTATAAAATTTCCCCCATGAGAAACTCTGGGCCTCTTCTGTCAGAACCATTTGGGCAGAAAAGGAAAAGCAATTTCAAGCAATGCCAATAGACTATCCATACTTCATTGACTCAACCATAAGTCCAAACTGTTGAGTCTAATTTCAGGAGACAGTGATGCAGATGGCTTCTAAAGTCAGATTTATATTGTGTGAACAAGCAATCAGGCAAATAAGGACATACATTCTATGAAAATAGAAGACTACAAAACACAGAGGTTAATGAATACAGCAAATCATAAACCAGTTGAGAAGACTTCCAGATGCAAGGTTTTTGCTGGAATGAAATCAAGGAGTGACAACTTGATAGATTTTCTGCAGTTAGAACATCTCTGGTGATGTCATCAGGTGATGAGTTCTGTATGGCATACATAGACAGAGCCTTAAAAACAAAACTTAGAAAACAGTGTACTGCACCGGAGTCCAATATTCTCAATTGGGTTTTCTGATTTCCCTTTGAAATACAGTTTTACTCCCTAAGATAACCCTCATTTCCATTAAAGAAACTGCATTAAGTCCAGTTTTAATTTGGCCCGGTTATTTGCCTAAACACAACAAGAATAGTAACTGATCAAATAGATCACACAGGCCTTTTCAAATTTGCTTTGCTGGAATTTTCACAAGGCATCTTTAGAGTGAGCTATATCAGACCCTCAGGGTGAAGAAGCCCAGCCACAGTTGCAATCAGGCTTTGCCTGTAATAACTGTAGGTTTGGATCAATTTCTCAAGTCCTTGAGGTCCCCAAAGATATCTTGAGGTTCCTTCCTTGCCATCTTTCGGGAAAGCAAATTTCATTTCTTACCTGGAAAGACTGCATGAACCACGTGACCACGCAAAGTATCAGGCCATTTCTCCAGCGGGCTTTGATTGGTGTTGGAAGTCAACATTAGTTCCGTAAGGCTTTCTGGTGCCATCCGGAGTTAAGGCATGCGTCTCTTAGACATGGCATTCAGGTCAAAGTCTTGGTTAAAAGAACACAGGTGAAGACTAGTCTTATTGGACTTATGCAAAGAAACATATTGCCATGACCCACTTATTAAGAATTGCCAAATTCTGCAGGGGTAAGTAGGGAGAAAAAGCAAAAAGTAAGCAATTATCATGTAATTATAATGTCCAAGATTGGCAAACACATTCTATAACTTTTAGAAACACTGGTTCATTTACTGCCAAACACACTAATATTTTAAAAGACATACTTCCATGAATAAAAGTACCATTTAGAAAAATTCACTGATTTAATAAATCAATGAGTTAAACTGATTGGGTTAGATAGCTTTGGTTCACATAAGATCTATTTCTCAGATTCTGCATTCCAATAGATGGCTCATAAAGGAGTCCTTTTGGAGACCAGGTA